CCATATTCCACCCAAAGTTGTTATTTCATTGACAAGAGAGACTTACTGGAAACAAGACACAGCATTTAACATCACGCTCATATGTCTTTTTAAAACTTCTATTTATGTGTATGGTTCTAGTTATGCCAAGTTAAATGGTCTACTGGAACAATCTTGCCAGTTCCAGATATATAAATCTAAAGAATGAGAAAACAAGACACATGTCTATGGAGTATTCCCGGGCACTCTTCTACCCACTTCAAGTGACACTGATTTCAAGAATAGTTCAGACCAAGAACATTCTAAACACCCAAATTAATCTTAAACTTTAAGGTCTGGAATTTTGAACCAATTCTTTGTCTTGATCTCCTTTGGAAATTAAAATAATACTGGCCTCTTGCCATGTATCTCTTTCGATAGCCTCATCAATTTCCTGCATTGTAATTGATCCATTCAGTCATTCCTGGTCTGCCTCAGAGAGTGTTGGTAGCTTTTGATTTTTTAATGTATTCTACAACAGTATGTGACTGTTGGGTCCTCTTCATTTTTGTATAGATCCTGTTATTGTTTTACCTTTTGGCCTTCCTTAATTTCTTTGTTCATGTTTAATGAGATTACATGTTTATTTTGATTTTTTTTTAAAAAAATGCAAGCCATTTGCCTGGTTTATTTGCATATTGGTATAATTTCTGCTGACTAAATTTCAGTATTTTGTCCATTTCTTCCACCAAAATCATTGATGCTTGGATTGTTAATCATTTTAGTTTTCAGCGAACTTCTTATCTTTTAGTTGTTCTTTATGTTCAAATCCTGCAGATTTCTTTCTCCTTTCACCTTTCTTCTCCCCTTTGCCCCATTTCGTGTCTTGTTTTAATTTCTGCTGTAAGTCCATAGTTAAATCTCGTCTCTTCTTACCAGGTGAGTTAAATCTCTGCTCACTTCATCATATCAAGGGCCTATATCATTAGTCTTTGAACTTTTTAATTTAGCTACTACAAGGTCTGTAAGAAAAAGCTTACTTTAGAAAAATGACAAAATGATGGTTGGTGCTTTTGCCAGCAAGATAACAGCCTTGGATGCTTCTCCAGTCTTCTCTGGTCTCACTACTTACTCCTCAAATTGGGAGCTGGAGGTCGTAAATACCAAAATAAGAAATCATATGAATCTGTGCAAAGCCTCTCTTAGACTAGGTCAAGAGCAAAATCCCTTTACTTGGCTATATATGACTATATACTTGTAGGAGGCAATAGAGTAAGAATTATCAGAGTCAGAATCACTAGGGGAGTGTGTGTGGGGGGGGGGGTGTGCAGTGGTGGGTGAGACCATCAGAGGTGGTATCTACATTTTTGCAATATTTCAGCAGAAATGTATTATTTTTATGAAAATATCTGTGTAATTAGATATGACCAGCTTACACATACATTTAATATACCAACAAGGCTAAAACTCTATGCCAATTCATTTTTTAACCTTCTGAGGTACATGTACTCTGGTCACAACTTTCATTATTACCCAATTACAGTGATGCTTGAATTGACATGGTTTCATCAGCACCTACTACAAGCATGTTGTTTTTGTTGTGTTGTTTTTCATAGGTACTAATTTTGTCAAATTTTAGCTGTATTTTCATATGGTCTGATACAGGAAGAATTTTGGGGGCGGGGGGAGGGGGGGTAATACCATGAGTTATCACATCAAGTGACACCAGTCCTAGTGATGCTGCCTGGCGTTATTCCCCTTTTCTATTTTTTCTGATTTCTTCTTCCTTGATTGTGGATAGCAAGCAAGCAAGCCACAGACTATATTTGGTACTGTCAGTTTTGCAACTTCCAGACCACCCAGGACTATCATTCAGAATTAAATTAAAAATTAATTCAGTGAAGAAATTGTCATTCCTGGAAGCCTGAATAAATACGTCCTTTTCATTTAGAACAGAGTTTGATATGGATTCTAAGCAGCCAGCCTCCTACGTGAAGGCAAAATGAAGTTCTGCAAATAGAATTTATCATCTTGAGCTTGTTCGTGCGATGCAAATGATTCCATTTTAATTACCATGGTTGAATCCTATGGAATCCCAGAGTTCATAATTTGAGGCAGCACTAGAAGAACTCTCTGTTTTGAAAATTCTCCTTCCTAAATTGCCAATCCCAGGCTTTCATAGACCAGAATCACCACATTTAAATTGGAATCATAGTGCTATAGTTGGAGAGTGTGGAAGGTTCCTCGCTAAGAAAAAATGGCCTCCCCTGTACCTGTGCTTTAAAGTAATCTTACCCAACTCTCTAACAAATTGCATCTTACACTTCTTCTGATGCCTATCTCATATTAATTCTCAAAATCAACAGGCATTGTATCGTTTTCTTTTTTCCTCAAAATTCTATCAAGGGTTTACAATCATGTTTCTAATTATTTTTCTCTAATCCACTTCTGCTAATGCATTCATTTTTAATCATCATTCTTTCAACATAGAGGAGTTCAAAGGAGCTATCCAAGGTGTTGTAACCTATCTTCAAAATAGGATCAGTACTTTGGGTAATTCCTTTAACCTCTGGACTAAACCCCAGAATGGATCTTACTGACATGGTGCCTGGCCAATGACATGAGCCAGGAGTCAGATTTATAATCTGAAACTCTACCTGTTGAAGGGCAGCCCCAGGAAGCACAAAACCAGGGCTCAGAGGAATTGGCTGAAGAAGCAGCACAGCCCCCTAGTCCACAGATCCAGTGAGTAGAGAAGATAAGAGAGCAGAACAGAGCAGAGACAGTCGATGAGGCTCCTTGCTAGGCAGCATGACTTGTTGCTCCTGATTAGGAGCGGCTAGTTGCAGCCCATGTAAGAGTCAACTCTGCCTGGTGTCCATTACTGGAAGCATTTGGCCCGCTTTCTGGCTGGCATTCCTATTTCATGACTTATTTGATTATGACCCCTGAACTGCCTGGGGGCCTTGCTGGATTCCTAGACCCTGGATTGCTGATGCCATTGCTTATTTCCCAGACTGGCCTTGACTATGCTTTTAACAAATAAATTCTCACAGGCAAGGACACTTTCTGAGACCTGTTGATATATTGCCCTTGCTTCGGCTATCTCTGAATTCTGAGCTAATTGGTTCCTCCTTCCTCTGTCTGTGTTAGCTGAGCCAGGGCAGCCACTATTGGGATAAGAATTGATAATAAGATCTGACAACCTTATTAACAAACCATGTCTGGCATCTACTGAGAATCTGTGAAAGATTCATATTCCTCAGTTGATACCGCTGGACCACAGGCAGCAAGTTGGAGAAGAGTAAAAACATGTGAAACTAGAGTCACAGAACAGGTTAAAACAAAAGGAGGAACTAAGAGGCACAACTGAAGGGCAAATAAGAACCAAGGTCACAGAAGCACATCAAAGCTCGCAAAGGCCTTGCTGTCAGATGCAATTCCAGGGGAAAGTATTCTTGTCCAGTATGATCCAAAGGGCAGTTTTATTGGGTAAGGCCTAAAGGCATTAGGTTATAACATGCATTAGGTATGTTGCTAAGGGTCTTATGCTGGCAGTTCCTTCTGAACTTTCTAAATCTTCTCATTTGGATGACAATTCTTTTAGCTAAATGTCCTATTCTTAATCTTCTAAATCAGCAGTTTCCACTGTGTTCTCCAGAATCCTAGGATTCCACAAAAGTATCATAAGGTTTCCACACAAAGAAATCTTTAAAATCAAATTTAAAACAGATTGTAAAATGATCAAGGGTCTGGAGAACAAGCCCTATGATGAGTGGCTTAAAGAACTGGACATGTTTAGCCTTCAGAAGAGAAGGCTTAGAGGAGACATGATGACCCTGTATAACTATGTGAGGGGAAGTCATAGGGAGCAGGCTTGTTTTCTGCTGCCCTGGAGGCGAGGACGTGGAGCAATGGCTTCAAACTACAGGAAAGGAGATTCTACCAGAACATTAGGAAGAACCTCTTATCTGTTCAGCAGTGGGACTCTACCCTGGAGTGTGGTGGAGGCTCCTTCTTTGGAGGCCTTTAAGCAGAGGATGGATGGCTATCTGCCACTGGTGCTTTGGATTCAATTTTCCTGCTTCCTGGCAGGGGGCTGGACAGGATGGCCCATGAGGTCTCTTCCAACTCAGTGATTCAATTATTCTTTGATTCTATGATTAACACAGTTATATCTAAATGTTTTCTCTTTATTCCCAAACCTACCATGCTCTAAAAACACTTAGGAAGCAGGAGTAGATGAAAAGCTTTGTGGGTTCACAATGCTTAAGGACATAGTTAGGGTTTTGTGGGGTTAAGAAGTCTTCTGAAGGGGAACATGACCAAAAAGGTTTGAGGACTGCTGCCCAAAATTATCCCATCACCTTAAGTATTAGAGAGAATCCTATCCCACTGATGTTACAGTTAACATATGTAGTTGGGATATTGAAGGGCACCCACCTTATGCTTTGCCTCTTCTGCCACATGTCCTGGTATCTCTCCTTGCTGCTGCACTGATGTTAAAAACATACAATTAATCTATAGCTTGTGACTTAATAACCACAGCCAGGCCCATTTCTAGAAAAAAAAAATGATTCACTGTAGAACCAGTGAAGGGAAAATATGATGCAGCATTAAGTAAGACTTTTCATTTCCAAAAACAATGAAAGCTGTTTATTTCCCCCTTAGGCAGCGGTTTGTTTTTTTTGCGAAATCACTCATTGAGCCCAGTGTTATATATTCTCTAGTTTTTACTTTATGCTATTTTCGCCAATAATTCCAAACTTGGTGTATTATAAATATGGCAAATGGTTATGAATCCTGTTCTCATGGATACCACCCTCTTGCTATATTGTTTATTCCTGACACACTTTGCAGGGTGTCAATGAGTGGCCCTTCATTTGGCTCTTCTGCAGCTTCACCCCTCACATAAAACTTGGGAATTAAAAAGCTGTGGTTTGCAATCACATTGCTATCTGGATATTTAAAGTGTGATTTTCTTTGGGGGCATTGCACTTCCTCTGGATGAATTCTAACTCTTGTGGGTTGTGACACTGCCCTTGAGAGTGGGGGCAAGTCTAATCCTGCCTACTGCTTCCCTGATTCACATTACAATCAATCGGACTCACTGGTTGCTTTGATCTGTTTGAGGGAAGTGGGAGGAGAGGAAGGAGTGAACGAGTGAGAGAGGAAGAGAAAGAGAGAAAAGGGGAAGGAGCTACCACTCGCTGTAACAGCCCTAAGCATTTTTTTCTGTCGGCTACACATTCAAGAGCATGCTGCAAATGAAACAGAACTTTGAAGGAAGCCCAACCATAGTTATTTCACCAGATAGTGCTACTCTTTCTTCTTACCACTACTTGGCTTTCCTTTACTCTCGTCTCCAAGCAGGTAATGCTTCTTTCTGTTCTTCAAAGCTGATTTAATGCCTTTATATGAATGAAACAAGGAAATCTGTTTTGTTTGACTTGTGCATGACCTGTCACCATGGTGTTGGGGCAGTGGGTAGACATGTTGTATGTAATGCAGCAGATCAGCAGCAGTCCTTTTCTGTGTGGGCTGTTTTTTTTCTTGAGGGGGATGCTATTTGTAATGCAAAGAACCTTGAGTTAGAAAAAGTTTCCAAGATGTATAAGTTCTTCCTCAGCCAGCAGCACAAATGCAGACCTTGCATCTGTCACTATATTTTGATTATAAAATTATCTCTTAATTTCTCTGCAATCCTCTCCCCCACAACATATGCATACATTCTCTGAGAAATCCTTATTCATTTAGGAAGAGTATATTTGTAGTTATTGTTTGTAGTTTAATAGCAATTTTCCAGATTTCAATATTATGAATACTGGGAACACAGTGGGACACAGGCAGACTACTGCATTTATGGAGCTTGTGAGACTGTGAGGTTATGCAGGAAAAACAAATTGCAAACATAGTTTGTTTGAACTTAGTCACTATGCTAATCCCAGTGTGCATATTGCAGGATTGCATTCCAGAGAAGCAAAAAGTGGAAGCATCAATTTGAAAACACATTGAAAGCTAGGAAGAGTAGGATAGGAAGAACTGGCATTGGGAACTGTGAGTTAAGACCTTGGTACCAATTGACTATCAAATCCCTCAGCAGAACACTTTGCAACTAGTACATTAGAGTGTATGGAATAAATGTTTGTAAGCTTTTTCTGTTCAACCACAATAATTAAAATTGGGTAGGTTTTTTCCCCTGTGGTTAGTATTGTGAATGTTTATTGTAATCATGGATATAGTGGTGATAGATCTCTGGCTCGTTTGCAGAGATCAACAATTTATGGCTCCAAATTGTTTAAAAACAGTAGGAACAAAATGGCAAACATGCTTGTCTCATTCTAAATATGCTGCTGAAATGAGGAAGATTTGGTATAACCAAGAATGAATTTATGTGGTCTATGATCTTGATTCCTTTCTGATACTCAAAGCAATTTCCTTAACCCAGAAGTCTTTATTTCTAAGGAGATTCTTTTTGCATCAGGCTTCAGTAGGCTTTGATGTTGTTGTCGTTGTTGTTGTTGTTGTTGTTGTTTGCTTTGATCTAATCCATGGGTTCTCAAACTTTTTCAGCTGCAGAGCCCTTTTTGAAGCAAAAGTTTCTTGTGGAGCCCCAAAATGTTTTGATATTATATTATATTAGGCATGGGCAAACTTTTGGTCACAGGGGCCACATTGCATTTAAAATTTTGACAGGCAGGTTGGGCCAGTGGCAGATAGATGGAGAGTGTTTGTGTGAATTGAAAAAAAATATGAACAAATTCCTATGCACACTGCACATATTTCATTTGTAGCGCAAATAAAGAAAGAAATAATACAATATTTAAAATGAAGAAAAAATGTTAATCAACATAAACTTAACAGTATTTCATTGGAAAACCCCAGGAGACATCCAGTCCACTTCTGCCATGCTGGAAAAGCACAATCAAAGCACCCCTTGAGTGGTGGGAGGAAAATGGGGTTTTGAAAGGAAAGAAGGCAGGGGGAGAGGATCTGGGCATTGAGAAAAAAAGAGTCTAGGCATTGAGGTAGGCAGGGAAGAAAGGGTCTGTGCCCCCAGAGGACACTGCTGTTGCTGCTGTTTTTGAAGCTCCAAACTTTAATTTCCCTGCATTTCTCAAGAGGAGAAGGAGAAAAGAGGAGGAGGTGAGAAGCAGCATGGTGCCACAGAGCCCCTCACTATCCCTCGCAGAGCCCCAAGGGCTCCATGAAGCGAAGTTTGAGAACCCCTAATCTAATCTCACAGACATAAAACCCTTTCTTGTCTTGACCAGTTGAGAAGGGCTGACAAGATAAGCAAGTCATATTCTTCCCGCTTCATTGAGGGAAAGAATAACTTTTGAATGGAACTCAAATGTAGAGATTCAAGAAAAATATAACACACAAATGATATGTAAAACTAGCAAAACCTACAACTATATAGTGTCCACTACCACTGTATAATTAAACTGTATAGTGCCCACTACTAAAATATGACTATCTTCAGACCTTCGAATGCTGCCTCCTCCATGGAATGTAGTTTTATAACATTGGTGGTTGTAAACCTTCTAACAATAATAAACTATCATATTTTGGAAAAAAAACTCCCCAACATACCCCAGGATAATATCCACAACATGTTATTGATACTCTTAACAGTTGACTTCATCACACACAATTAAATGAGCATTTCTACACACTTAAGAATCTGCCACAGATGGTGCCCTTCATATGATGCAAGTTTCAAATGTGGACAGAGATATCTTGCTGTTTCTAAGGTGAGGGTTTTTTCCACCGTTCTTAAGTCAATTGGCAAGCAACTTATTTCTTAATTCCCCATGTAGAGATGAGTAAAAACGCCAAATTTAACATGTAATGGGAATCCCTCCCTTGCCTGTTTTTAAATAAAATGTTGACATCATTATGGAGGGAGGAGCCAAGATGGGCAGAATTGATTCCTTTCTGCCACCATTAACATTTTGGGCCTGAGGAGGTATAGCAAACAAGGTATTCAAAACATTCAGGAGAACATAGCAAGCATGCAAATCTGTGCTTTGTGTCTCTGTAACCTTAACAAGCTCCCTCTTTCAGCTCTCTCTTCCTGTGTTGGGTCAAAAAAGTCCTTGTGAACTCTTCTTGAAACTCCTGCTGTGCTGCTTTTGCCTATCAAAAGGATAGCAGAAAGAGATTTAAGAGAGGTAAAGCTTTATATCCCTCCTCCCTCCTGTAAGAATGCAAGAATAACCAATGTATATATTCTTATTCTATGCTGTGAGTTTTTCAGGCTGTAAGATGAAGTCCCAAGATACAAAGAGAGAAGTTGTTTAAAAAGAAGAAAACATGGGAGGGCCAATGAGGGAAACAAGTCTTTATCGTGTGATGGCAAAAAATGGATAAATCTTAATGAAAGCATAGAGAAGAATTAGGTGTGAAGGAGGTAGAAAAATCTTCAATTTAATTTCAAAACAGGTTATGGCGAAGCTTTATGGAAAACCTTCTCTCACAAATACTTGACCTGTTCTGTGGGATGAAGTCCTGTGTATCATAAGAAAAAAGAGGAAAAAATTTAAAAGACATCTATAGTAAACAAATAATAATTTTGTTGTCTAACATTTGTCTTACTGTTGGTCTTCTTTCTATCAATGATTTTTGGTCATTAAACAACGTTATAGGCCCGTCTTTAAATATCCTACATAAATATTATGGACCAAGATTTCAGCTCTTCTAAAACCTTGTGTTGGTTTGTCTTTTTAAAATCAGCTCAGTTTATCCAATTCCTTCCAATTCCAAATCATGTTCGAGATTATCATCAAATTATTTCGCTTGTTGCAGAGTAGTAATCCAGAATCTTTTGTTATGGAAATAAAAGGATAGTCCTTCCAGTTCCTCTCATTTGTATATGTCATTTTTCTTCCTGAAATAATCCTTTCTCGTTGCCAATATATGTCCTGGGATATTTTTGTTTATTTAGTTTCTCAGTATTTCTGTAGAATTTAATTTCTGCATTTCTTAGTAAAATAGACAATCACATCTCTTGGTACTTTCTTGTGATCCACTTTTTTAAAGCCTTGGATCCTTTTTATTTAAAGTTCAGACTTAAACCAAGGGCAGATTCACTCCCACTCCCAATGAAATTGGAGCCACAAATCTTCCCATTTATCCTGTATTGAGAAAAGCTGGGTGTAAGAAATATTTTGGCTGTCATCTTGCTAGTGGCACATGCAAGTTGAAGCCAACCTTACATCTGTGTATTTCTCCTTTTGTGCTTACCAAATCCTCCCCCTATAGGGCCATTGCAGCTCAACACTATTACAACAACCAGCTTGTACCTCTGGAACATCACTGAAACAGCATGACTCTGTGCTGGCTCTATTTGAGCCAGCACAACACAGTCATATGAATTTTAATTTTTTATTCCAAATTTTTCCCACTCTTCCAGCCTTATTGTATGGCCCCACGTTTGCTGCCCATTTGACTATGCAATCTTTAATCTGTGTTTTTTCTTTTGACCAGTCCAAGAGCTTTTTATATATTTTCATTATTATTTTCTTTTCTGTAACCATTATTTTTTCCCCAGAATGTGTCTTTCTCTGTAAATCCAATTTTTATCATTCTTGTAGCTTTCTCTTATTTGTATATATTGAAACCAGGATATATTTTTGTCTATTCCTTTAATTTTCTCCTGTGTTTTTAGTATCATTTCTCAGTTTTGTTTTTTTAACAATTGTTTATACATGAGCCATTTATCTTATCCAAGTTCTCTTCTATGTATAGCTTCTAAGCAGAGGCGGCCCTAGGTAATTTTCAATGGTAAGCAAACAGTATTTTGGCCCCCCCCTCCCCCAAAACGTATTTAACTTTATCTTTATTAGAACTTCATATAGATATAGATATAGATATATAGATATAGATATAGATATAGATATAGATATAGTAATTAAATCCCAAAGAGCTATTTAGTTTTAGCCTTAAAAGGAAGAAAAAGGAAACATTAAACAGTTTAGTACTCTGATCCCAGAACATGTTTCTTGTTGTTGATAAATTTGTTGTTATATTGTTATGTGCTGTCAAGTCAGGGTTGACTTACAATGACTGTATGAATGCAAGAACTCCAAGAGCCCCTGTTGTTAACTTTTCCCAGTCTCACACATTATCATAATAATTAATTCCCTAGTTGTATATGTCCTTATTGCAATAATATCATTTCTCATTTTCCACCAAATACATTTCCCTCTTTTGTTCAGTTTCCTCTTTCTGTGGACAAAATTGAAATGTTGATTAATACATCATTTTTTTCAGAATTCTATATTGTTTATTCAAATCTGAATCCAAAAACATGTCAAAATTTTAGTCTCCAAGAGTAGCACAAACACAAAAAGGCTGAGTTCATGTCTTGCTTATCTTTGTGACCATATCTCCCTCTATGAACTGGTGGAGGCCCTTCTGCTGGGGAGGCCCTTCTGTCACTCTCATCTCCGTCACCAGCACGGTCAGTGGGGGCAAGAGAGAGGGTCTTCTCGGTGGTGGCCCCCTGGCTCTGGAACTCTCTCCCCAGGGAGATTAGATTAGCTCCCACCCTGTCTGCCCTTTCCAGAAATACTTGAAGACATGGATGTTCCAATGTGCCTTTGAATAATGGTTTAGCTACTGATTAAATCTGCCTAGCCCTAATCTTAGGGTTGGATCTCCAGCACTTTATTCTCAGCCCTGGCCCTACAGTTTGTGTTTGCACAAACCATTGTCCTGCTCTATTAGTCTCAAATCTACACATGCTATTGGTAGTTTGTTGTTTGGTTTCTGTTTTATAATGTCTTACATTTTATTGGTTTTATTGTTTTAATATAGTTGACTGTTATATGTTTTTAATTGTGTTACTTTGTAACCTTTGTTCATATTGGGCTTGGACCCCATGTAAGCCACCCCGAGTTCCTTTGGGAGAGATGGAGATGGGATATAAGAATAAAAATATCCTCCATCCTACTTTTTTCCCAATTGGCAAGAGCCCGAGTAGGCATCAACACCATTACAAATGTGTCTTGCTCGTGCTAGACAGCTACATCATTTTGATACCACTTTAATTGCCATAGTGTGGAATTCTATCATTTTGTGATACATTTGATATTTTCATCCAGGTACAAATTGCCACAGCAGTTAAAGTGGAATGAGAGTGCTAAAACTGTGTAGTATGAAAGAGTCATATCACATTCTCTAACATGCTCTACACCAGATTTGAGGTTGCCAGTTAACAGGTCTTTTAAACACTGTATAAATTAAAACAACCAGTACATTTTGATAAAAAAATTTATAAAGCACACTAAAGGAAATACTCCCTTTTCTTTTCTATTTTAATGAAAAAGCTCTGGGGTGCTGAAATATTCATTTTTTATCATCCCATTATGGGGGGGGGGGGTTCCCGAGGTCCCCTTCCTGTCATAGGCATTTAAGCTGTTTCTACTCTAGAGGAGAGGTGCTTAGGTGCAGGCAGGCACATGCTTTAGGAAGGCTTCTTGCCTGTTTATCTACTCTAGAGGAGAGGTGCTCAGCTGCAGGCAGATGCATCCTTTCTGGGCCTGCATGCCACACACACACACTTTCCAAGGTAAGGAGGTGGCTCACGAAAAGCAGACAAAGAGCTGTGATCAGCTCCTACTTGCTTTCATGTTGAGCTGATTTCTGTACCGGGAAGGGGCTTTCTGTTACATGCTCCCAAAGTTAATGAAAGAAATTAAAGAATAGATGTAACAAAGGAAAACAGATCCGCTCACAGCTCTAGTGGGGATTTCTTGAACATATTTGTTCAGTCTTCATCTGAAGCTGTGAGTGTACAATTTGTCCAAGGTAATCCAGTGAGTTTCCATGGCTGAGTGGGAGATTTGAACTCTGGTTTCCCAGAGCCCTGTTACAGCACTGCAACCACTACACCACATTGGATATGCTGCATAAATATTACAGATGAATGCAGATCTGGCTGTCAAATAATCATGAAGCAGAGCAAGGTCAATGAACTCCAAGTTAATTTCCTCCACTCTTTAGAAGAAATCCACCTTGTCCAACACAGGTTAAGTATCAGTGATGATAATTCTAAGATTTTAAGTCTAGAAATCTTAGTAAAAAAAAATCAACCCCACAAAAACTGGGTCAACTTATCCAAGGGACAATGTCAGTAATTTACCTTAACTCTTATAAAAAAAAAGAAAGAAACAACCCCCTTTTCTGAGTAGAGTGGCAAAAGGCAAGAGCATGACCCATCTCAAAGGACACACCAACCCTCTATTTTCTCTGCCATCAGGGCCGGCCCGTCCATTACTCGAAGTAAGCGGTGGCGGAATACTTTTTTTGCCAGGGGGCGCTGTTCTGTCCTTAGGCCACGCCTCCTCCTGCAGGCCCCATGCGCCCTCAACAGCCTTCTAATGGAGAAGCGCAGGCCCCGCCCACTAGGCGAGAGGGAAGTCCTCCCTCCACGTGCTGCCAGGAGGGAGGCAGCCAGCCAGGCTCTTTCGCTTTCCCTTTCTTTCCCTGCAGCTGAGCCTGGACCCCTCTCAGGGCAGCAAGGAGGCCTGGTCAAAAGGTACTGCAAATGTCATCTTTTGTACATGCCTCCCCCAAACCCCTCTAGTATTTGGTAATGGAAGTCCTATATGCCAAGCTTGGTTCAATTCTATTGTTGGTGGAGCTCAGAATGTTCTTTGGTGCTTGGTAAACTGCAATTCCCAAATGTCAGGGTCTATTTTTCCCAACCCCCTCTCCAGTATTTTCTGTTAGTCATGGAAGTCCTGTATGCCAAGTTTGGTTCAGTTCTATTATTGGTGGAGTTCAGAATGCTCTTTGGTGCTTGGTGAAGCATTCTCACCTGATGTTTCACCCACATCTATGGCAGGCATCCTCAAGAGGCTGTGAGGTCTGTTTGTAACTAGTCAAGTGGGGTTTGTATATCTGTGGAATGTCCAGGGTGGGAAAAAGAACTCATGTCTGCTTGAGGTAAGTGTGAATGTTGCAATTGGTCATCTTGATGAGTATTTAATGGCCTTGCAGCTTCGAAGCCGAGCTAGTTGCTGCCCAGGAATCCTTTGTTGGGAGCGGTTAACTGGCCCTGATTGCTTCATGTCAGGAATTCCCCCCCCCCTTTTTAGTGTTGCTCTTTATTTATTGTTCTGATTTTAGAGGGTTATTTTAGAGGGTACTGGTAGCCAGATTTTGT